GGGTCATAAATATATTGGCAAGAACGGGTGAAACAGGATTGCTCATACTTAAACCATCTATCTGATGGAAATGTTCGTTGTTGAAAATTAAGTTGGTTTTAGTTGTTGTAAATTCTAAGAGAGAGAGAAGCAAAAAGTGTGCTGGGGATGTGGATTACCTTGTTAGGGTCATTAATGTAGAGGTCGAGTGTGATATTGCAAGCTTGATTGGCGTGGACTTCGGCGAAGAGTGACACGACATCAAAACTAGTCATTGAACTATTAAAATAAGACCGGATATTTTATGTAAAATCAACAATTTATTGTATTTAACATGCTTTCTATTCTAACAATGTAAAAATTTGAGAAATACAATACAGAACACATAATATAAAACTTATAACAATAAGTACGAAAAGAAAAAAAACGAATACAAGGTAGAAAAAAGGGTATCATATTGTGATCAACAGAAAATAATTCGTCAAATTTTTAGAGAGGCGCATAACTACTAACTAACATCATAAATGAAGTAAATGTAGGGATGGCTAACATCAATCCTTCAAAAATAATGCAAACAAGGTAGTAGGGATGATGCAAATTTCCATTCCTACATTTACTTTGTTTTTTGAAAAGTTTTTCTTTACTTGTTTGCTTATTTTATTAATGCAGAGTTTCATTAGATATAAGAGGTTTTATTTATAACCAAGTTCTAAATACAATGAGGTTCCAATTGTAATATTTATTGTTTATCTATTATTGGCTGGTAGTTTCTGTTTCACCCTGTACTTAAGTTTTTTGAAGGAACATCAAATTTCTGTAAAAAAGCTAACTTCAAGGGAAATGGTTTTCAAACGAGATCCAAAACTTGGGCGCTTTAAAATAGTTCACTATTCTTTTTCAGGAGAATAAAGGATTATGTTTTATGAGTGTGATGAAAAATATAGGCATGGATATCGACATCATGTAAACTGGATTTTCAATATGAGTTAACCTTGAGAACTAGCCAATCATAACATAGAGTTGTTAGTGTCAAGTTTAGTTTGTGCCAAGGAGGTGTGTGCAGTACATAAAAGACTTAAGTGTGATAATAAAGTAAGTTAAATATTAATGCATGTGTATGAACAGACCTTTTTATGTGAACTAAATAAGTTGGATACTTACACAACTGAACAAGTGTTATAGGATAACAAATGTTTTAAATTCAAAGAACAAAGTAAGTTGAATATTAATGCATGTGTATAAACAAACTTTTTATGTGAACAAGTTGGATATTTATGCAAATGAACAAGCTTTATAGGATAACAAATGTTTTAAATTCAAAGAACAAACTGAGTTGGATATTTAATAAAAATGTTATAAAAACACGACTTTTATTCCTCTCTCATATACAAAAATATAGTATGGCATGTGTGCACATATTATCTGAATAAAAAATGTTTAAGATTAATGTGTATTAATGAGCTTTATTGGTGAACAAATTAAGTTTATATAATATTCAGTTATATGTAAACAACAGTTTTTACTTAGACAAAGCAAGTTAGATATTTGTATGAATGAACAAGCTGTATATCTAAGCATATTCATGTGCAAAAGCAATTAACCTCTACAGATGAGCAATTAAAGTATGTAAATATGAAGAATATTTTTATGTAGACAAAATTAGTTGAATATTTACCTAATCAGTAGAATATCTTAATAATTTTGAGACTTAACAAATGAAGTTTACTAATTATGTGTGTTTATAATCAACATTTATATCTTAATAGTGTTGTAGCTTATCAACATGTATATTGTTATAACATGTTCTATCATTCAGCTCATTAGGTGGGTTCTTTTGGATTAATTACTAAAAATAAAAACTTGTTTTTTCGACAGGCTACCTTCACTTTAACACATTTTGTAGGCCTAAGTTCACAAACAACATTTTAACAAAAACTCCAAACTAATGTATGTGCAACTCACAAATAAACTAACAGAATTTTCTTGCTAATTTATTGAATAACTGAATAGTTGCGATAACACTCACTACTAATAATGAAATGAATCACTTACTGAATACTCAATACTCGTTAACTCCACTGATTAACGAATAATACACTGATTCTTAACTTTCATGAACTTTCTAGAATATAGTCAAGCCTGGCATTGCCTTGTGGTTACGGTTCATGACTTGCAATCTGTGGGTCGCAAGTTCTTATCCCTGTCACTGAATATGCTTGCCCTATCAGCCATGATAGCATTATAATGTGATGATCATTCCTATTTTTGTTGGTAAAAAAGTAGTGAAAAGTTGGTGGTGGTTAGTGTTGACTAAGTGTCTTCCCAGTGGTCTATCACTTCTAAATCAGAGGCAGCTAATACAGATAGCCCTCAAGTAGCTTTGCTCGAAATTCGAAAAACAAACAAACTTTCTAGATATCCAATCATTGCACCTACTAAAAAAGAAACATTTAAAATCAAAATTATAGCTTGCTACAATATCTTTAACTGCAGCTTAACAAATGGTGGTTACTGTGTATTCATAATCAACATTTATGACATAATAATGTTGTAGCTAACTTAACAAATGAAGTTTTACTATGCATTTGTAATCAGTAATTATTATTGTATATTCAAATTTTTTGTTTCATTTTTTACAGCAGATGGCTCACCCAGGTTTCCAGCATATGAACGGGTTACTCTAAAACACCGTTAGTTTGAATTCTTTTTTCTATATTTTGTTAAATAGAATACAGGTTTATTATGTAGTATAGGAAATAGTATAACATATATTGGTGTATTATTTTAGGTATACCCCACAGAAATAGTTCTATTAATTAGTGATGATACCAACAAATAGTATTATCTAATAATTAATCAACTGTTAATATGAAGATTTTTGTTTTTTTAATAACCAAATTGAAATTGTTATTGTTGTATATAATATAAAGCTTAGAATAACGCTAATATATTATTTGTGTTCTAAAAGATACTTTCTAACCAATACAGTTCAATAGCATGATAATTTTCCTATATGTATTATGGATGATACAATTCAACCTTGCATAGTAAATTATTTTTCCAGTCTTCTTTTGTTATTTAGGTGTTTAAATCACCAGTAAAATATTACTTTGTTTCTTTGAACTTCTTGACAGAGTTTTGCATACTTTTTTTTACATTGATAATCTGTATAAATTCGAAATATGCATTTCCACATATATCCTTCAGTAATGGACAATCTTGACCCACATATGTTTTGTTATATAAATAATTTTAAATATTTGTTGTTGTTTTTTCATAGTTATCTTAGAAACTTTAAAAAAAGTCACCTTAGAATACATTTCAGATTTTGTCACCAAAACAAGATGCAGTCCTTAAATTGCTTATAGTCCCCTGGTAGGATAGGGGTTTGATTCCCCACAGCAAACATAGCAAATAGCCCAATGTGACTTTGCTACAAAACAAATACACACAAACAGACACATTAGTTGCTTATGATCTACTAACAACTATAATATTTTATCCATTTTTCCAAACATGCTACAAGTTTATTGTTATAAAAGTCAAGTTAACTGCAGGTTTTTTTACCACTTTCCTCTTGTCTAGTCTATTGTGACACACAATCAGAAGTATGTAAAAATAGTGTTTAAGATCTGTCTTTTGTTTCCATCAGTTTCTTCTGTACTCAGTAGGTCAGCAGCATGTTTATGGATTTACAACCCTAAAATTTGGAGTTTGATTCCACATGGTGACTAGAGCATAGATAGCCTATTGTGTAGCTTTGCACAAAAACTAAACAAGTCCCTGCCAAAGAAACTTTTTGTTTAATACCAGAACACATCAGTTGGGCTGGACAATAAAAGCACAAAGCTATTAAATGTTATTTGTATGTGCAGGATAATATTTTAAAAGTTATGATTTAAATGCCAAAATCCAGCAAACAAGTCCAACTGAGTTATTCCAGTATTGAACAAAAAAGCTTCTTGGGCAGCTACTTATGGAGACAAAATATAGACCTGAAATGCTATTTTCAAACACCTCTTATTTTAAGTCATAATGAATAGTTAAGATGAATGTGTGAAAAAAAAAACATCTGCAGTTACTTTGATTTTTATAAATATTTTCAGGCCTATTGGTTTCCATATATCCTTTAAACCACAATTACAAGTTTACTGTTTTTTCCTTTAACTCCCATAGATATAAGCATATGTCGTTTGCCATTTGCTGACTTAGAAAAAGTATAAATGTCTTAAGATGTTTGAAATATTAGACAAGATGTAATGTTTTCTACCTTTCCAGTTTCTGAGAACACTACTTGAGGAACTGATCCTTTTACATTTCAGCTGGTTTCATTCGTCCCGTTGTGTTGTTTGGACCACTTGCTGATGTAGCTCGTACTATGCTCTTTAAGGATCACCACGATAAATATGGATTTCCACGTAAGCTGTTGGCAGTATCAATATATCTAACAGCTTATAAAACAGAAGGTTATTGGAGGTCATGCTCGTCCAATACACTAAATAGTGTTATAACTTTAAATTTTCTCCATTTCATAGGAATATTAATACTTTCTCATGCTGTAAGGATTTTTGACTACCCATTCACATGTATTTAGAATGTATTCTTTGTAATCATTTTGTTAAATGTTATGATTTAAACCTTTTCCTCTACCTTGAAACTTTGTTTAAATAAATGTGAGAATTTACCAGTTAGATGGAGTATTTATAAAAGCAGGTTTGGTTTCTTACAGAACTTGATAGTGTAATGGACGAAAAGCTCAAAAAGGAGAGATCATCAGGAATTGTTCGTATAAGTGCGATCAAGGATATTATGGATAAGGTAAAGCAATGTATAAACCAATTGTCTTTAGCACAAAAAACTGAAGAAATATGATAATCATTGATTAAAATAAACCAATAATAAAAACCTTGTATCTTTGTAAAAATTAGACCACAACTGGCACATAAATTTTTTTTTATTTCTTAGTTTGCTTTCTCTCTGAAAATTGAAAGATATGTAAGAAAAACTCAGATTGTACTTTATGTAGTAACAATGGTTTTTTTAGCCCTATTTTTTCCATATTGTAAAATTTTCATTACTTGTTTTAATAATTTATTCTTCATGTCTTTCACGTCCTTGATGATGATCATTTGTTATTTGTACCTATCATCAGTCAGGCAGCCATCAGTTTTGAGTATATTTCCAACACTGTTGGCTGTTAACATGCAGACCATGCTTGTATTAGTCCCACATCATGATTTGCTGTAGTCATTCTCCTCTGTTCCATCAAACAAACTATTTTTGATTGTATTCATACGATTTGAGTTCATTTGTAAAGAGCACCTTCCTCCAGCTTTACTCTACAATTGTTTAAACTATGATGTCCATTTCAGCTTTTTGGTTTGGTTATCTCTTCTAAACAGTGGTTTTTGAGCTTCTTCACATCCAAATTTGATCCTTTTTTGCTAATGTATATCTTACTGTTCTGGTGTTAACTTTCATACACCTGTACTTATAGCTAGGCCATTAGCAACATCTCTATTGTTTTGTCATATGTTATGTAAAAAGCATACCAAGAGTATATCTTACTGTTCTGGTGTTAACATTCACACAACTGTACTTATAGCTAGGTTATTAACAACATTGTATTGTCATATATTATGTAAAAAGCATACTTAGAGTTATTTGATATCACTTTTGAGGAATTTTGACTTTCCACCAATTCATCTGCTTAGATAAACCTTGCACCAGTTTGATCCTACATTTGTTTCTACACCCTATGATGGAGCAAGATAATCTCCAGGGTGACACAAATACTTGTAGAAGGTGAGTGGAGGTTTCTCCCTGGTGTAATTTATTTGGAATAGTCACTGACATAGACCATCTATGGGTTGTGGGAAACTGCACTATGACCCTCATCTATCTTTTTAGTTCAGTATTGCATTCCTCTTTTGTCTGTCCTTGTACTTTGTTGATATAAATTATTCTT